TTGCAAATGGCAAGATTTCCTTCTTTTGATGGCTGAGTAATTGTGTGTGTGTGTGTGTGTGTGTGTGTGTGTGTGTGTGTGTGTGTAAAACACATCTTTATCCATTCATCTGTCAATGGACATCTGGGCTCTTTCCATATTTTGGCTATTGTGGACATTGCTGAATACAGTCTGTAGCCAAATATAAAAGGGAAAATTTTTTCTTTCATTTTTTCTTTTTATTATGTACTCATTAGATGGGCAAGACACTAAGGATACAGAGTAAAATGGTACAGCATAAAAATTTCCAGATGTGGGAAACAGGATATAAAAGTTTTCAGACTTATAAAGGCAGACGTGATCTCTAGTGTTTACTTCTACCTCTATTCCCAGATAGAGAAATGACTTAGCCATAAGGTTCATATAACAATTTACAAAGACCTATAGTAAAAATTGGAGAGGTAATAGATGTTAGCAAAATAGCTGTTTCTTTCAACTGAGGCCACAGATAGGGAAAATGGATTCTAGTGATGAAAGATGCTTTTCCTGTGAGCAGGTCCCAAATTGTGAAGTTAATCACTAGCTTTATCTATCACTTTCATATTTATAATCTCATTTTATATTAATAACACACTGGTAATAGAACTGTTATTTCTATTTTAAGGGAGTAATTGAAGCATAATGTAAAGAGCTTGCCAACTTAGAAAGCTAGTTAGTGTAGAATATTTGCTGAGTAATTTATGAAAAATTTAAACACTAACAATAACCTCAGTTGTTTCTTTTCTTGCTTGTTCAGACTTAGTGACGATAATAAATATTTCAAAAAATAGTTTTCATTATTGACTTGAAATACAGATACAGAAATGCAAGTATCACATACATACACACATATAATCGTATTTAGTGTTTTGGCCCAACCCTACCCCATGCTTGGACTTCACTGTATGATCTTCCAAAGAGAACAGCAAGCCATGTTATCATCTCTTTTTAAAATACAGATTAACTAGGGATGTGAGAGGTAGTATGAAGCTCAAACTTTTAACAAAATTAATGTTGTTTATGACACTTGAATGCTAGGCTACTAGCCTTCTGGTCTTCTGCTTTAAGATGTTTCTGGCATATAGATGTGGTGCAGAGAGCAATACTCCTGGGCAAATAAGACACACCTGGGATATCCAAGTTCCAGCTTAAGCATGAGAAAGTTGACTTAATTATTTCAACTTTAATCCCCTCATTTGTAAGTCAGGAATAATAACTAAACCATGGTTCCTGGTTAAACAATATATTCAAACACCAAACACATAGTGAGTACCCATTAAGTGTTAGTTCTTTTCTTCGAATTTAGCTTTCTAGTATCTATCAGTCTTTGATAGTTTAAAGGCCCTTCCCAGGAAGCTAGGCATTGAGTATTGAAGCTAACACTTTGCTTTCTACTACGTGAATATAAAAGAAGCATAAGGTAATTCCTACCCTGATTTTATTTTTCTACATTTTAGTCCTGTTTTTAAATATTTACTGATTATTTCATATGTATAAGTTTCTTCTCAACAGTATTATAAGTATTTTGAGGCTAAGGGACCATGTCTTTATATTTTTATATATTTCTCATTGCACACATCAAATTGTATACTCATAGTATTGATTACCTTGCTAGTGGAAAAAGAGTGCTGGATTGTCAGTCCTGACTATATTATCTTTGGTAACTATGCTGGGTATTTTTGGTTTACCCCTCCAGATCCATTCCTCACTTTGTTCTGTAAACTCAATCCAGCAACATAAAAGTCATTATACACTATGAGCAAGTAGGACTTACACTAGGAATGCAATTGCTCATTTAACATCCAAAAGTCAAACACCATATTGATAGAATAAGCCATAAAAGTCACACAATCTACCCAACACAGAAAAAGCATTTGACAAAATCCTACATCTTTTCATAATAAAAACACTCAACAAACTTGGAATAGAGGAAACTTCCTCACCCTGATAAAGAGTGTCTGTAACAAAACAAAAACACACAACTAACATCATACTTAATATTTTACTTAAGAAATAAGACAAGATGTCCACTTTCACCATTCCTATTCAACGTTGTGCTAAATGTTCTACTGAGGTCTATTAGGCAAGAAAAAGAAATGAAAAGCATCCAGATTGGACAGGAAGAGAAAACACTTTCTATTTTTAGTGACATGATCTTGTATATAGACAATTCTAAGGAATACAAACAAAAAGTTAAATGAGTTCAGCAAGTTTGCAGGATATAAAGTCAATATACAAAATCAGATGTATTGCTATACACCAGCAATTAACAATCTTAAAATGTAATTAAGAAAACAATTTCATTTATAATAGTATTATCAAAAAAGAAAATGCTTAGGAATAAATTTAAAGAAGTGTTAGACTGTACACTAAAAGCTACAAAGCATTGTTGAAAGAAATTTAAACAGACCTAACAAATAAAAGACATCCCAGGGCGCCTGGGTGGCTCAGTCAATTAAATGTCCAATCTTTTTTTTTTTTTTAAGATTTTATTTATTTATTTGAGAGAGAGAATGAGAGAGAGCACGCACAAGAGGGGGGAGCGGGAGAGGGAGAAGCAGGCTTCCCGCTGAGCGGGGAGCCCGATGCGGGACTCTATCCTGGGACTCCAGGATCATGACCTGAGCTGAAGGCAGTCGCTTAACCAACTGAGCCACCCAGGCACCCATGTCCAACTCTTGATTTCAGCTCAGGTTAGGATCTCAGCGTTGTGAGATCAAGTCCCAAGATGGTCTTTGCGCTGGCTGTGGAGCCTGCTTAAGATTCTCTCTCCCTCGCCCTCTTCCCCTCCCCCCGCCATCTTAAAAAAAAAAAAAAAAAGACATCCTATATTAAAAATTGGAAGACAAGCGGTGCCTGGGTGGCTCAGTCGTTAAGCGTCTGCCTTAGGCTCGGGTCATGATCCCAGGGTCCTGGCATCAAGCCCCGCATTGGGCTCCCTGCTCCGTGGGAGGCCTGCTTCTCCCTCTCCCACTCCCCCTGCTTGTGTTCCCTCTCTTGCTGTGTCTCTCTCTGTCAAATAAATAAATAAAATCTTTTAAAAAAATAAACAACATATTAAAAAGGCCAACATATGTGAAGGCAGGACTTTCTCTTACTTGATAAGAATAAATTCAGATTTGTCTTATCAACTATGTTATGTTAGTCACCATACAGTACATCATTTGTTTTTGATGTAGTGTTCCATGATTTCATTGTTGGCATATAACACCCAATGCTCATTGCAATACATGCACAGTTTCTTTTGATCAACAAATTGCTTTTGTGCTATTTTCGGGGAGCCAGTGTTCTACAGAATTCAACATCTTATACATATTTTCACTTGTTTCCTTCCTTCCTCAAGTTCCCCTGAAATCAACAACTATTAACAATTTCTTGTGTATACTTGAGAAATTTTTATAATTTACTTGTATTTAATTGCTGGTAAAGTTATGTGCTTTTCTGTGTGATAATTACTATTTATGTTGCCCCCAAGTTATTTTTGTCAGATGTATTTCCTGTTTGGTTGCTTTCATATTAATATTTGTTTTATAAAATTCTCTTGAAAATTAAAAAAAAATGATATAAACATTTCTCTATGTTCAGTATCACTTTCCCCCCACCCCAGGACTCAGAAGAGTATTTTTCTCTCTACTGTCTATCTTTTTATGCCAGTCCACTTTCTCCTGTTGTCTTATGACCTATCAAGAATATATGTTATGACAACTAATTGAACACTACACCAAAAACTAATGATGTACTATATGTGGGCTAATTGAATTTAAATTAAAAAAAAGAAAAAAGAAAAAAAATATACATTATGAGATGATACGAAATAAAGACCTAAATTAATTACTTCTTTTCTATACTAATATGCTGCTGTCCAAAAAACATTAAACAATTCATCCTATTTCTCTCTAGTTTGTCAAAAGTTAAAAGAGTATCCTTTGAGTTTACATTATTCTGTATCATCAATAACTTCTACTATTTTTTTAAGTATATACTCTTTTTTAAAACTATGTGAAACTTTTTAGTAGTTGACTCTTTTTTGGGGAGGCTTTAAGTCTAATTCAATGAGTTCATTCATTATTTAAATCTATTTGCAATTTGTTTATTCTTCTAGAAGAGTTTCACTATATTTCAGGTTTTAATAATTAAAAGGAGTATAGGTTTATAATAAATGATGATATTTTAAAAATTACTGCCAATTTAGTCATCTGTACATCCTATTTGGTCTCTGGTTATTCTAAAAAGATTTTTTTGTTTTAGCAGTACAAAAATATACAGATTATCTTTGGTAGGAGAATTGGGGAGTAATTATCTTATTACTTTATAATTACAGTTTTTAGTTTTTGCTGTAGGAACATAAATTGCTAGGCCACATTTTAAAATATGAAGGAAAAAGCAATCTTTTTATTGTTACCACTTAAATCCCGATATCTATTTTAAGGTATTGCACAAGAAAGAAAATCTTTCTTAAGTTTATCTGTAATCATTAACTGAAAGTATATGACTCTTTGCTTATCTTGAACATTGAACTTTTGAAGATTTTTCAAAGTTATTTAATGTAATCATTTATTTATCAACAGTTGCTTACTAAATAAAAATGATACAGCATATTTTTTGCCAGGTCATTCTGATCAAACAT